TTTAAGCGTCTCCTGTAAGTGAGAAGAGCACAAGGAACTGTGGTAATGGTGCATGGGTGAACTGGTGGTGAGAATTTCACAGGGAAATCATATATCATACAAAAATGAAGGAGGATGTCATGACGATATTAAAAATAAGTGAAAATAAAAATTTAAAAAGTGTCCCCTCTAAGTGCATCATGCAGTATTTGTCTCTGTGGCTGGCTTATTTCCCAGAACGTAATTGTCCTGTGATGGCATATGTCAAAATTGCCTTCCTTTTCAGACTGAGCCATACTCCATTGTAAATAGAGACCACATTTGCTTATCTAGTCATTCATCAACGCATACTTGGGTTCCTTCTACATTTAAGCTACTGGAAATAATAGAACTATGAATATGAGTATACAAAACTCTCTTCAAGATGCTGCTTTCAAGTCTGGAGAATATAACCAAAGTGAAATCGTTGAGTAGGTATATAATGATTTACTTTTAATTTGGTGGGAACCACCATACTGTTCCCCACAACACAGTATCATTTTACATTCCTACTAACAGTACTCAGAGGTTCCAGTTTCTCTGCCTCCTTACCAGCACTTGTTACTTTCTGGTCAGGAGAGAGTGCCCATGCTACTGAGTATCAGGTGGTTTCTCATTGGAGTTTTGATTTGCATTTCCCAAATGATTGGTACTGTTGAACATTTTTCATGTGCTTATTAATCATTTGAAGGTCTTCTTTGGAGAAATGTCTGTTCAAGACCTTTATTCATTTTTTTAATCAGGCTTTTTGTTGTTGAGTGTTAGCTGTTCTCTGTTTCTGATACAGCCTCTCTTGGAAAATGTCCCATGTGCATTTGGGAAGAATAAGTTCTTGAGTAGCCATCTCTGTAAGTGTCTGTTAGAGCTCACTGGTTTTGTGTTCAGTTCTATTTCCTTACTATCTAGTTGTTTTATACATTATTGAGAACAGATTACTGCAGTCTTCAACTATTATCACAGAACTGTCTTCTCCCCCTTACGTTCCAATTCTGCTCCATTTAGTTTGATGATTAAGTGTAAATGTTTACAATTTTTTATCTTCTTGTTGTATTGAGCCTTTTATGAATATACAATAATACCTTTCTCCATTTCTTCTTAGCTTTTTTACTTAAAATCCATTTTGTCTGATATTCATATTGCCATCCCATCCCTGTACCTTTCTTTTCTTTTTTTAATAATTGCATGGAATGTCTTTATCATCCCACTCTTGACCTATTAATGTCTTTGGATCTAAGTGAGGCTCTTATTATCAGCATATAGTTAGATCATTTTTCAAAATTCATTCTACCATTCTCCATCTTTTGATTGGAGAATTTAATTTATTTACATTTAAAGTATTTATTAATAAGGAGGGACTTAATTCTGTCATTTTGCCATTTTTTTTCTATGTGCTTTCTACCTTTTGTTGTCATTCATTTCCTGTACCACTGTCTACATTTGCGTTTAGTTTACTTCTTAAAATGAAATGTCTAAATTCCTTTTGTTCATGCATATTCTGTAGTTATTTTCTTTGTGACTATCATAGGATCACATTTAATAACCCAAAGTTATAAGACTCTAATTTGAATTTATACTAGCTCAACTTCAATAACATACACAAATTCTTCTCTACAACTCCATCCCCAACTCTTTTGGTTGTTGATGTCACAACATTGAATATTTATACATTGTGCCTACAAAAACATTAATCATTGTTTTATATGAATTGGTCTTTTAAATTATGTAAAGAACAAAATCTGAAGTTTCAAGTCAAAGATACAATAATACTGCTTTTTAGATTATTTAACATACATAATTTAAAAAAAACATGTTCTAAAACTACATAAAAAACAGAAAGTGAAGTCACAAAACAATAGTACAATAATACTAAATTTTAGAATTCATTACCCATGGACTTACCTGCACTTCTACATACAACCCCAAGTTCCTGTCCAGTGTCCTCCATTTTACCCTGAATGTCTCTCCTGAGCTTTTCTTACAGGGAGAGTCTAATAGTAACTAAGTCCCTCAGCTTTTGTTTATCTGAACTGTCCTATTTTTTACCTCACTGTTTTGTTGATCAGAACAGACTTGTTTTCTTTCTCACTCTTGAAGAACAGTTTAGCCAAATATAGGGTTCTTGGTTGACAATTTTTTTTCCTCGCACCTTGAATGTGTCACCCCCACTCACTTCTGGTCACCAATATTTGTGAGGAGAAATCTGCCACTAATCTTATTGAAGAGCTCTGTATGTGATGGCTCTTCTCTGGCTACTTCAAGATTCTGTCTTTGTCTTTTGAAAGCTTAATGATAATGTGTCTTGTTTTCATGTTGCTTGGAGTTCATTGAGCTTCTTGGATGTTTATACTCATGTTTTTCTTCAAGTTTGGAAAGTTTCAGCCACTATTTCATCAAATATTCTTTTTGCCTCTTTCTCTCTTATTCTCCTGGGATGGCCACAAATCCCTTTAAATTCTGTTCACTTGTTCATTCTTTCTGCTACTCATACTCAATAATTTCCATTGTCCTAGCCTTAAGTTTATATTTGCCTACTCAACCCTACCTCTATACATCTCCTGTGAATTTTTCAACTTAGTCATTGTGTTTTTCAGTTCCAGAACTTCTTTTTGGTTTCTTTTTAGTTTATTTATCCCTTATTGATATACCTACTTTGTCCAAACCAGCTTTTCTTGACTGCCTCCACATCTCCCTTAAGTTCTCTGGCTATCTTTAAGACAGTTACCTTAAATTATTTGTCTAATAGATCTTCCAGGTGTTTCCAGGGAGAGTTTCTTTTGGCTTATTTTTTTCCCTTTTATGGGCCAAATTTTCATAATTTTTTGTAGGTAGGCCTAGTGATTTTTTGTTGAAAATAGGACAATTGAATCTAATAATGTGGACCTCTGAACACTAGATTCTCCCTCTCCTCCAGAAGAATCTAATTTTATTAGATTATTGTTATTGTTATTATGGTTTTCAGCTGTGTCTGCGCCTTAACTGGAGGGCTTGATGAGGAAATACAGCAAAGGCTCTCTGCCTTTTTGTCTATATGGGTTCCCTAATAATTTTTGCTCACCCTGGCTGCTACAAGCTACGTGCAAACTGTCATTGTGTGCAAGCTGCTCTAGGAACAGATGCAAGGTCGCCTACCCAGGCAGAGTGTGGGAAGAGAGTGGCTGCTACTAAGTAAGAGCTAAAATTGACCACACTTCCCTACAACTGGCATCCAAATTCCCCTGAAAGGTACAAGTCTTTATTAGATTCCAGAGCTCCCAAATCTTTTGATCAGACAGATCCTGCCAGCGTTGTTGTGGTCTAAGTAGGGGAGAGATTCCTGCTCTTTCTGAGGTCCTCTCTGGCACAAGAGACCATTTAGCTTTTCCTTTTCATTAAAAAGCTCTATCTAAATTAGGTGTCTATCTAAATTAAGTATCTAGCAGACCCCACGTCTGCTACTAAGCCCTGAAATTGGAGTGTGTGGCAACACAAAACCTCATTATTTCTTCCACCACCAAAACCCCCCAATAGCATTTATCATCTGCATTCTGTTGTGTCCAAGCACATTACTAGTGACAGAACAGCATGGAAAGTTTCTAGATCTATAGACCCACCAGATAAAGAAACTCAGTCATTGACAGGAGGAGCTGTACCGGGTGTGTCTCTCAAGTTTGCATAAGCAAAATTTAAAAATCAGATCCATTATGCAGACCTCAACATACTGTATGTACAATGTTCCTGGCTGGAAAAGAAGAACTATATCTTTTTTTTTTTTTTTTTTTCAAATCTCTACCGTTACTTGCCTTTTTATCTCCGCCTTCTCTTTCTACAGGAAATAATTTCCTACTTCTCCACCCCAAGTTTCTACCTCCAGATCTGTTTGGTTCAGTTGCTAAGAAGCCTGACATTATCAGTATCTCTTGGAAGGAACTATTTTCTGGTGAGTTTTGTGGGTGTTTTTTTCATTACTTTATGAATCAGAGACTCAAGATATCTCAAAGCTAGAGATATAGAGACTGGGAACCCCCTGAGGGACTCAGTCCAGGAACATGTGGGTAGTCAAAACGGGATAAAGGTGTGGGAGTGGGGAAGGCTCTGCACCATGAGACCTTGATGGCAGTGAGGGGCCTCAAAGCTGGTGATAACACCTCCCAGGACTCCAGAGAGAGGAGAGAGCTTCCAAAGAGTCCAACCTTAGAAAGCAAGGATAGTTGGCTTCTGAATTATGGCTACCCTCAATGTGCTTCTCCCGCTGAGAAGCAGTTTTCATGTAACTGAATGATTAGTCCTGATATCCAAAAATTAAACCAGTGATTTCAGTCGCTTTCTGAGCTTCCACTGATAAAAGTGAGGTGTGCTGTAGTGACAAGGGAAAAGCAGAGTTGGCTGGCATCTGTGTGGCCATGAGCACAAGTGAGAATGCACATGGAATTGGTATGAGCGTTTTCTCCTCTTGGACAAACCTGAATCACCCAACCTGAATCATCAGAGGTGGGTCTGGGCTGCATATTTCTGACAGACTCCTGTGTGGTACTGAAGCCCAGTACTTGAAAGCCACTGATCCCAACCAGCATCGCAAGCAGGTGTGATTAAGCCCTGTGACTAATTACAGAACAGCCCAGAAGGCATGCTGCCCGTGAGGGACTGTGTGCAAAGACCCCAATATATGACAGTCCACAGTGGAGTGTCTTAATCCTTAGCCACGAGCAGCCAGGTAGCACAGGCTGGGTACTGAGGCAATTCCTTGCAAATAAAAGATCATGACTTCATGGAGCTTACTTTAAGGTGGAGGGTGTGTGTGTGTGTGTGTGTGTGTGTGTGTGTGCATGCACACATGTGCATGTACACGTACATAGGTAGAATATGCTTCTAGGGGTGAGTCTATGGATTTTAAAATTAAATACCGAAGAAGTTCAGTTTAAAATATGGAAGAATATCCAGAAAGTCCATTTTCTGTTCCAAATCCACCTCTGCTTTCAGAACCTGGAGATGGGGACTCCTACAGCCCTTTGAAATTGAGAAGCAGAAGTTTAAATTCCTGCAGCTATTACTTGCTTGGTGAGTTTGGGAATGATGCTTAATCTGCCCTTGCTCAAATTTCTTCCACTTGTAAAATATGTAAAGAGTTACCTCAAAATTGTTATAAGGATTAAATTTAATTATTTTGTGTCAATTTTCAGCACAGCACATAGAGCTTTAGAAGCATGCTAGTGTTTATAAGAATAATTCTTTGGGTGGGTTCATTTTTTTTTTAAGTTTTATTTTAGTTGCTACAGATTTCAGGAATCTGTGCATGGCCTGGTTTCAATTTTAGAGAAAACTGATTGAAAGGGAATGTGGCTAGGAATATCATGGGCAAATGAAAGATGACAACAAAGTCAGCAGTGAGGGTGTATGAGGCAAGAGAGTGGCAGCCGAAAGCCGCAGAGAGGCAGGACCCGAGAGCATCCCCGTGGTAGGACCTGCATGACGCAATCAGGTCAACACTGGGCATCTCTGCTGCAAGGCACTGCCTCGGCCTGGGCTGACCTGCAGCAGCTCAGCTTGGCTGATATTTTACACATAGAGAAACTGATAGATGAAGAAGTAACAAGTCCCAAATTACACAGCTTGTGAGTAGGAGGCAGGATTCAAATTCAGGTCTGTTTAGCGCCAAAGCCCTGGCCCTTAATCTTCTGAAGAGGAGGAAAGCCAGGATGAGGATGAGACCTGTGTCTCAGGGAATGGCACAGTTGACAATAACCAAAATAAGAAGTCCACCAGCTGGAGCAAGTTTCTGGGGGTGGGTTGGATGGAGGGACAGGGGTGGCACCCGCTTTACTCACTGCTTGTCTTCAGGGTCTGAGGCAGAGTCTGGTTCGTAGTAAATGCTCAGTGCATATTGCTAAATGAGTAAGTCCACTAGGAGCCAAACAGTAGGTAATGAAAAATTCAGTTCAGGTACAGGGTAGAGAGTGGGCGTAGCTTGAGGAAGCACTCACCCACAGGAAGCCCTGAATGAGGTGTGCCGCTCAGGAAGAAGCTTGGGGCAAGAAGAAAGAGATAAAAGTGAAAAGATCAGAATCCAGAAGGTGCCGGGGACGCGGACAGTGTGAACAGGGGGCGGCGGCACAGAGGAGCGGAGTAAAAAGGGAATGGTGAGACAGGAGGTACCTTCCAGAAGCCCTGGGTTTTCAGTAGAAGAAATTCACCATAGGAGAAAAATCACGGATGGGGTTGAAACTAGAAGGGAGCCATAGCAGTTTAAAGATTGGGTCCTGACGGTGGTGTGGGCAAGAGAAATTCTGGTGGGATGGCAGAGGGCAGGAGGCAGACTATGAAGAAGGCCCCAGTTAGAGCACTTGGGGCTGCAGACAACAGAAAGTGCAACTCAAATGGCTTAAAATAGGGATTTCTTCTTTCTGAAATAACTGAAAGTCAGAAAATGGGCCTTTGGGGGGCAGGTTAGGATTTGGTGTTTCTGAGATTCTGCTCAGTTTTGCCCCTGTTCTCTCAGTCTTCCGTTTCCAAGCACCAACCCTTCCCCAGACAAGCTACAACAGCCCAGGGTGCTGCCAGGGTCCCTCATGCATCTCTCTGATCAGAGAAGAGCATTCCAGAGGCCACATAGTAGAGTCCCTTGTGTATTAAATTCCAAGAGTGGGTCACGGGCTGTGCCCAGCTGCAGAGCAAGTGGGCAAAGTAAGCGACCTTGTGTTTCGCCTCCCCCTGCACATGGGGCTCGGGGGAAAGGACAGGTGGGAAGATGACTGGCATCTCCTCCCAGGAAGCATGGGAAGTGATAAGCTAGCACACAGGCTTCCAAGAAGCTGGCTACCCGGGGGAGGCCACAAATGAGGCTAGTGCTTATGAGGAGCAAAGGTATTCTCACGCCTGGATTGCAACACTTTCATCATAGTATGTCCCTTGTATGTCATCCTGGTGTTCTTTGTTTGCAGGGCAGGGAGATGACAGGTAACATGATCACCCAGTTGAACTACGTGCTGTCCACAGCCACTGCTCTGTTGACAATGAATAGTGCAGGGGACAATGAGGAAATCACCACTGATTTTGTATACGAAGAGGACAGTGAACCCTGCCGGAAAACCTCCGTGAAACAGATCGCAGCTGCGCTCCTGCCTCCGCTCTACTCCCTGGTATTCATCTTTGGTTTTGTGGGTAACATCCTGGTCGTCCTCACCCTGATAAACTGCAAAAAGCTGAAGAGCATGACTGACATCTACCTGCTCAACCTGGCCATCTCCGACCTGCTGTTCCTCCTCACCATCCCGTTCTGGGCCCATCACGCGGCAAATGAGTGGGTCTTTGGGGACGTGATGTGTAAGCTCTTCACAGGCCTGTATGACATCGGCTATTTCGGTGGGATCTTCTTCATCATCCTCCTGACGATCGACCGGTACCTGGCTATTGTCCATGCTGTGTTTGCTTTAAAGGCCAGGACGGTCAGTTTTGGGGTGGGAACAAGTGTGGTGACCTGGATGTTGGCTGTGCTCGCCTCTCTCCCGGGAATCCTCTTCACCAGGTCCCAAAAAGAAGATGATAGTTTCTCCTGTGGCCCATATTTCCCATCAGGATGGAAGAATTTCCATACAGTAATGAGGAGCATCTTGGGCCTGGTCCTGCCACTGCTTGTCATGATCATCTGCTACTCGGGAATCCTGAAAACCCTGCTGCGGTGTCGGAATGAGAAGAAGAAGCACAAGGCCGTGAGGCTCATCATCGCCATCATGATAGTGTACTTTCTCTTCTGGACTCCCTACAACATCGTCCTTCTCCTGGACACCTTCCAGGTGTCCTCTGGCCTGAGTAACTGCCAGAGCACCAGCCACCTGGACCAAGCCATGCAGGTGACGGAGACGCTCGGCATGACACATTGCTGCATCAACCCCATCATCTACGCCTTCATCGGGGAGAAGTTCAGAAACTACCTCTTTAGGTTTTTTCGAAAGCACATCGCCAAACACCTCTGCAAACAGTGTCCAGTTTTCTATAGGGAGACAGCCGATCGAGTGAGTTCCACATATACGGCATCCACTGGGGAGCAGGAGGTCTCAGCTGGCTTGTAAATGAGCAGCAGTTTATTTGTTCTCTTAAAGGGAGCTAAGAATCTATATATAATAGTAAGTCTCAAGATTTTGTTGAAGAACAGAGACCTGTGCTTTCGAAATTGCCCAAGAACCTCAGGGTTATATGTAACAAGACATAAACTTTCTTGCATAAACAGCATGTGCTCAGGGAACATTCCAGAACAATGGTGGGTAGAGACTTTGACCCTCCACCATGCTCAATTCCTGGAATATGCCACATTGCTTTGCACTAATGCTCTAGTGCATCTAATGTCCAGTCTTCATCAAGTCTTCACTTCTCTCTGGTTTGATCGATGCCTTTAAGGAAGAGCTCAGTTGGAAGTGGGGAAGAGAATGAGAGGCATGAGGGTGAGGCAAGAGGGTGAGGAGTGTCGGCCAAGTGTAAGGAGCAGGGAGGCCTGAGAACAACGAGCCTAAAAGAAGTACTGCCCTAAGCCTGTCCCCCACCCATACTTAAATCTGTAGACATCAGCAGGGTGCAAGAGCTTGGAAAGTAGCAACTGTCCAGGAGCTCTGGTTGGGCCCCATGATACCCTCCCCAGTCCATGCATGATACGCATGGGCTTTGTTGTTGTTTATCTGTAACAACCACACTCCCTACATTTGAAACCTGTTAAATATCACACCCCATTGTTCATATGCTTCTAAGGCCACACCCACCTATATTAAAACCTACAGAATTTTTGTTTATGAAATAGGTGCAATCTCATAAAATGGAAAAAATTAAAACCTGGTTTGGGCTTTTCAGAGAAAGGGGAGGGCTAGAGGTAGTGTTTATGAGAAAAGGGTGACCACTGTGGAGTCCCTCCCCTGGGGGCGGAGGGGCCATCATGGTCAGAGCACAGGAGGGTGTGAGAGCACTTCAGGGATGTTTCTAGGATCAGCTGAGAGGCCAAATTCAAAAGAACATACCTGTTGCACCCAGTGCCCTTCTGACCAGAGGCAAGGAATGCAGACTCCGGCACCTGACACCCGGGGACCTGGACATCGCACGGTTTCCCTTGTCGGCCAGGGAAGGCTTCAGAAGGAAGGAAGTGTGGACTGGGTGCGGCAGGGCTCCATCTTCTCAGGTGTATATTCTCCCAATGATTTCTCCCATGAAATTTTGAGGATAATGATGAATGTAAATACTGTTTTTGAAAAATAAAAAATATGACCTGGAAAATGACTCAATCTTGTAATGATATGGTTTTTGAAAAAGAAATGTCAGCTCTCCCATTTCCTTCCCTCGCCCTCTGGCAATGACCCTGCTGTTCTCTCTGCCTGTTGGTCTGTTCCAGAATAGCACTGTGTGTCCCCCAAGACTGCTGATTTCATTTAGCATAAGGTCCTCGAGGTTCGAGGTTCACCTGTGTCGCCACATGGTGGGGGGAGGTGATTTTTAAGGCTAATATTCCACTATACGTCTATACCACATTTTCTTTATCCATTTCTCAATATGCTCAAAATTCCTCTTAAACAAGTTGTGTTATGAATATCTGCTTAGCAATATTGTCCCTGTAAGTAAAGATACTTCATAGACTAGCTCCCACATCGTGTTCTTATCGCAATAAAAAGAATAAAAGCACTGCCCGTTTTGTTAGTCCATGGTGTGATCAATCGTCTGGTTGCTCACGACTCCCACTCCTTCCCTGTGTGATCCCATACTCTGACTTGCTGGATTTGCCACAGCGGCACACCTGTCCCACCCTAGGCACCTGAGCCGAGTCTTCACAGAGCCTCTGGCTCCCCCAGCTCAGCTCAGGACAGCTGCTCCCCAGACTCTTCAGCCAGGGGCCCTGTGAGCAGACAAGGAGATGCCAAGAGCAGAGCCGGGGCTTCGGCCACCAGCGGCCACGCGCACCAGGAAGAAGAGGCCCGTGTTTGCTGCATTAATCCACCAAGCTGCCAAGAAATGCAAATCTCACTAACACATGGTATCCAATGACCAATAGGTAAAATTCAGGAAAGTGGACATTGGTTTTTCCATCATGGATTTAACGTGGCAAGCACAAGAGGATACCATGTATCCCCTGAGAGGAGGATATGTTTGTGCCCAGCCTAGACCACCACCCAGGGGCTGGGCGGGAGGAAGGAGAGGGAGCAGCTAGAGAACACAGTATTCGTACGTCGCGACACACCATGCAGAGGTGATGTGAAAGTTTTGAAAGCAAGGTGGAACAAGCCACAAAGTCAAGAGCAATCCTCTAATGCAGTAAGAGTAACTGCAACAGGGTTTTATTGCCTTCAAAGAACTTCCAACCATCTCTGTTTCTAAAAGGAAACCCTCAAGTCTCGTTTATTCCAGGGAGGGCATCTGCGTGAGCTGTTTGTGTTAGACAGGCATCATTCTAAAGGGTGAGTCTTACAACTTGCTGGAGCTGGGGACTTGCCAACCTACCTGTGCAGGTCCCCTTGGTCCCGGTGCTCACAGCCACTGGGGAGGTTGGAGCATTTTTTGAGAAGTCTGCAGCCCCCTAGGGGTCAGCCAGGGAGGCCTCATCTTCCCACTTTTGCTTTTGCTCATTATTAAAATTGAAATGGCCCCAGCTGATATCAGTCAACAGGAAGACCACAGGCCACTGTGGAGAAACTTGCCCTGAAGGAAGAGGCGTCTGGGGCAGGAGTATGTTTCTATAGTGCAGCCCCTGAATTTAGGGGAGACCTGGCCCTGGGTGTACTGAGGGGCTGAGGGTGGGAACTTCTATTTAATTAAAACTTGGGCAGAGTGCATGTGTGAGTGCGTGCGTGTGCGTGTGCGTGTGCGTGTGTGTGTGAGAGAAAGAGAGAGAGAGAGAGAGAGTTACAAAAGGCTTGTAACAAAAGGTCTACAGCCTTGCAGCCCCCTCCTGGGACTAGTAAAATCCAAGTCAAGGATTCTGAAGAGAATGGCCTCTTCCTTGAACCGCTGGAGAAGCTCTGCCAGTTCAGCAGCCTGGTAAGCAAGTATTAGGGCACTGAACAGCCTCCTCTCACTCTGCCACCCTCCATAAAACCTCTTAATATAAACAGCTTGCAATATGAAATTCTCTCCAGTCGTCTCAGCTGGGCCCTAGGTTGGCTGGGTCCTGCAGGCAGCTGGAGCTCGTCCTGTTCTCCACACCTCCCGCACCCACCCCAGCCTTGGGTGTGATCGGCACCTCTTCTTGCACAGGGTGGGGTTGGGAAGAGGGGCGGGAGGGTTAGGAAAAGGGCGTATGCATCTTTGTCCAACTGCCCCTGCCACTGTCGACTGTGTGGGTCAGGTGGCCTAGAGGGACAGCCACACTGAAGCGTTCCCTGATGTGTGGTCACCTCAGATGCTCTTAGGGTGACAGGGGCTCCCCAGCTGCCACTTTCTAGGCATGTGAGCTCTCCCTTTGGCAAAATTTCTTCAAACCTGGCATCTCCTGGCTGCTGAAATCACCTTCCACACCAGGTGGGACCCGAAGTGGCATGTCCAGCCCAGTGACTGCCTTTGTGGACGCTTGGCCCAGAAGGACCCTTGCTGTCTCGCCACCATGCCTGTCTCCAGCACCCTCTCCTGTCTCTTCTTGCCCTGCTGAGTGGCTCTGCAGGTTAAGTGTTCCCCCAGGAGAGTACTGGCTCCCTGCCCGCAGCCTGTTCCTCTCATGACCCTCTCATAGCCCCCCGCCCCCACTTGGCTTTGGGAGCAGGGGCCCTCCTTCTTCCCATCTGGTCAGGGGTGGGAGGAGCTGGCTGGTCACCTCAGCCCAACTGGCTGGTCACTCTTAGTAACTCCTGCAGGAGGAATCTGTCTGGTGCCAGGTGTCAGTGGTTTTCTTCAGAACTGAGGGGCAATTAACACTTCTTTGTCCTCAATCTTAGCCATAGTTATCAGTTCTGGGACAACAGGAAAAGTCCCATAATATCCTGTTATGCACAGAGCTGTGGTGTGATCTGAGCCACTGGAGGTCACAGTGGACCTGCTCTGTTCCTTGACAGGGACACTAGAGGGCCACTGCACCTCCGACGGCCCTGCTCCCAGGCTGGGCACGGATCTGAAAGAAATACCCGTAACACACAGAGCAGGCTTTGCAACAAGCTTGAGGGGTTCCCAGAGTGTCTGGATATATCAAACGGTGTGATGAGTGAGGCAGCCTGCAAGTGTCCACTAGTGCGATGAATTGTATGGGGCCAGGGATGTCGGAATAAGGGTTACACTGGGAAGGGTCTAGAAGATAAGGGCAATATTGAGAAGGGTCTAGAAGACAGCGACAGGGGGAGTGAACCCATTCGCTAAGACACAGGTCGGAAGCAGAAGGTAAAGGGTATTGGATGTCATGGCAGCCACACATCGCTGTTGAGACACACAGGGACAAAGGTGACATGAGCAGGGGGCACTTTCTCCCAGGGATTCTCTTGGTGAAGTTGCCTTAGCAGCTTCCTCTCTGGCAGGCAACCAGAGCACTGACGGCAACGCCCAAACACAGTGTTCACTTCACTGGACAATGGAAAGAAGACAATACACAGTGGGGACTGTCTAGTGACAGGCTCTGTCAGATAGTGCTACAGCGTCGTGTTGAACGGAAGAAGCCAGGCACAAGAGGATGGTGTCTGTGGCATCAAAGGAGCAATGTGGTCCCCGATGACAGAAGCCTGGGAGCTCTTGCCGTGGGCAGGGTGCAAAGGCAGCTTCAGGGGTGAGAATCCCATTCCCTGTTATCTTAGTCTATGTGGTGGTGAGGTGTGTGCTCATCACAACCCAGCCTCATGGAATTAAGCCCAATTTTAAAAAATCAATTAAGGTAATACATTTAGAAAGAAAATAACATGGGGAAATTTCTACCCTGTAATCTTTGCAAACAACAACAACAAAATCTACACAATAACATGGGGAAATTTCTACCCTGTAATCTTTGCAAACAACAACAACAAAATCTACACAATAACATGGGGAAATTTCTACCCTGTAATCTTTGCAAACAACAACAAGAACAAAATCTACACATGTTACTCACAATTCATCAAAAGCGCACAGGGAAAGGTCTGGGTTGAAATGCATTGTGGGTCAAGAAGGATGGTGTGAGATTGTGGAAAGGGGCTTGAGGTTTATCTACTTTCTATTTTCTGGTTGTTGTTTTTTTCTAACTTCAGACAATGTGTTTGTTTCATTTTATAACATTTGCTTTTAAGACATTCCTTTACAGGTGACAAAAGCTGGTTTTGCAGCGTTTCTTACTGTTGGCCGGGGCAGCCCAGTGACCACCGACTGAGTCGCAGGCATTTCAGGTGAGCGGCTCTGTGGCAGGGCTTCAGCGCAACGTGCGTGCGCAATGATCGCGTGGATGCCAAGAAGGAGACTGACCTTCGCCTGGGTGGTCTCCATCCACTGGCGATGCCGGGTTTAGTGCAGGAACTGCGTGGGGGAAGCAGCCCTTGGGGCGTTGGAGTGGCATCCAAGCCTGGGGCAGCAGGTGAACGCTGGCCGCTGGCCGGAGCCGCGAAGAGGACTGGGAGGAGAAGCCTCCAGGAGCTCGCTTTGCACAGAGGAGAGCAAGCCCTGCAAACAGGGCGGGGCAAAAGGGGAAGAGAAGCAGAGACACGAACCTAAGTCACAGCAGGACAAACTGTGGGTTTGTTGTTGCTCAGGCTATTGCTTCATTGATTAGACGCTAAAAAGTCTCCGTGGCCCTGGCTTCCTCCTGCATCCTTGAGAGGAACTCCTAACCCAAGAGTCACTGAACTCACCTCTGGACCCAGAAAACTGGGGGCAAACAGTGGACCTTGCTGAGTTGCTCTCACCTCTTCAACCTATGAAGCCTCGTCCTCAGCAGCGGGCATTTTCAGAACCAACTTAGCCACGAAGTCACTGAGTATTTAAGGAGGGAGCTGCCTGCGGGAAAATGGAGTCTCAGAGGGAAGTACCTTGCGAAGGCACCCACCCCCCAGTCAGCCAGTCTGATGCCTCCTGCGTGCTGGGCTACTCCACGCTGCCCTCTGGGGGTGAGCGCGCCAGCAGGTCCTCACGCAGAACAGGGCATTGCCCAGCTCCACTTGGAGGAAAGAAGAGGCAACCATGTCACTTACAGAAACAGGAGAGTTGTCCAGCCACACCTGAGGTGTGCACACGTGTCTTGTCTGGGAACACAAGGCCATTCTTCAAAACATCAACACTGTGTTTAGGTCCCTGGTTTAAGGGGAATTTAATATCAGTTTTCTTGCTACCCATCTTGTGAATGCTTCCTAGAGCACAATTACTACCCCGCTGCCTCAGTGGCCAAGGGAGACACAAGTGTCTGCAAGAGACTCTGCACATATTACATCATTTCATCTTGGCCACAGACCTCTCAGGTAGGTTTGTGTTTGGGTGTTTTTGATTTTTTTTTTTTTTTTTTGCTTCCATTTTACAGATACGAAAACAAAGGAAAGTTCTGTGACTTGTGCAGACTAAGGCAGTAGTGAAGCTCAGGCTCAAAACCCACAGCATGACTGCAGAGTCCTATTCTTAATCGTTGCCTCTCTAGCATGTGTCAAGATTCACATTCCGAGATCTGATGACCAGCACTGAGGCTCTCTTGTAACACAAACCTCTGCCCCTTGATGGGTGGTTCTTGGCCACATGGCAATTTCTGTGCTTCTCTGACTTCCCGGGAGTCATTTCCTCCTATTCGTGAAGCTCCAGTCATCAGTTTCACCCTTTCAAGTTCCAGTTGCTTGATGTTACTCTGATCTAGACAAGGACTAGAATTTTAAAAAGTAAACTAACAAGGAATTAGTGACCAAGTAACCGACAACTTGATGTTTATTAAGAGATGATGTGTTCAGCTGTGATGTGCATGTCTCACGTACCCTTCCAGGAGGCGGCCCGTCCACCCTGCAGGTGGAAGGGCTGAGGACAGAGCAGTTCTATTGGCAGGAGCCACAGCTCAGCCCCCCCGTGTTAGATGCTCCCAATTGTCTATCATCCCTTAGATCTCACACTCTTGTCCTAGAGCAGAGGAAACCGAAACTCCCAGAGGGCCCTCTTGTGGTTCCAGAGTTCTTGTGTTCTCAGCTTTACTGTCCAATATTTTAAGTTATTAGATAACTAACCAACCACGTGAATGCTTTCTTCAGTCTGTCATTGCCCATTTCACACTGGAAGTTTTTCAGAGCTCTGGGTAGGTCGTATCCAGGGAGTTAGGCTCTCAGCTGCCTGTCCAGCTGGCACAGGGCAAACTCTCTTAAGTGCCTACTAGTTTGGAAGGCTGAAAAAGAGTGAGTTGGTAGAGTGAACATTTGTAATGGTGTGTCCCCTGGAGATACCTGATCCAGAGAAAGATGGGCAGTGTACCAGCTCCCGGTGAGCCTGTAGTTAAAGCCCTTGGGACAAACCCCAATGCAGGGTGCCGGGAGAAGTTGCCACAGGAGTGGGGATGTGTATGAGCTGCAGGGAGAAGAGGGGTGTGAGGAGAGGGTGAAGGGGAGCCTAGAGCGAACCAAGTGTTGCTCTCTCAATTTAAAGTGGGATTGGGTTGACTTTCACTGAGGATAAGTAGTAAGAGAATCAGAATGTCTCATACAGTACACTCCTGAGAGACTTCTCAATGCCGTTTCCATTTGATAGCGCATGGCTAGCACAAATGATTAGCCTCTTGGATCATTACTAACCTCTTGGAGAGCAGGGTCTTGCAGACAAATTTGCAGTAAGATTTTGACAAAATGGCTATAAATGTTCTTCCAGCTCTACTCTCCTTCACTTCTTTCTACTTTCTAGCAGGCTCTAGGTTGAACAGAGAACCAAAGGAAATAATGCAACCAGAGAAATTCATGAAGACTTCAGGCCAGAGATTGTCTAGCCTATTTAAAAAGTTCAAAAGAGATGTTTCTTCTTTTTTTTTTCTGCCATTACCTTATGCATGAAGTCTCCGCCTCCCCTTTCAGAGAACTATACGTTTCCTATTTTGTCTGTGTATTTGATTTGCACAGCTGAGTTGGTCAGAGGAGCTGAACATCATTTCCCCCTGCAAGAAATTCTGCTGGTAAGTCTACTCAGCCACTCTGCCTCTTAGCTGCTCTCTGTGATGATAAAAGCAAACCCATGGAAGACACTTGGCAAAGACTAGGTGCCCAGGGAACTATCTCAAAATGTAATCTCTTAAAACAATTAATTTTTGAGATAAGGATTTGAGTCAGAATGTTGAATGAGCATCAGACTGTGATAAGATCAAAGATAGAGATGAGACTATGAATGAAAGATGTTAAAGGGATTGATATCATCATTTAAGACTCCACCTTTTGAAAGAAAGATGTTCAGAAAGAAGATTTTTGATGAAATCTTGGTTAAAAAAAAAATGATGTCCTCAAAATTTTCTCTAGGGCTGGCTGGTTGGTTGATTGATTTTTTCCCAAGAAAGAGGGAAGCCTTAAAAAATGTCCAATTAATATCAAAATAGAAATAACAAAATTTGCCTTTATAAGTTAACTCTGATGAGACATTTTCCACTTGGCCACCTCTGTTTGTGGCAGCTCTTATTCACAACAACTCAGGACTATAAACAAACTGCAAGGAAATGTGAGGCAGCATTGGGAGGTGAGCACTGACCACAGGCTTCCCTGATGCCTGGGCATCATTCGACTACCTGGGGGTCCAGGTGGCTGGCTCTGCTCTGGAGTTCTTAGGAGTGAGACAGGGGAAGTGGTAGAGAGGAGGGCAGGCTGCCTCATTCACTAGCTGTCACTAGGCAAGTTACTCATCCTCTGTGCCTTGAGGTCCTTAGCTGTAAAATGGGGAGAATAATATGATCTGTCTTATAGAGTCACCTTGAGGATTAGTTGGGTGAATAAGTGTGAAGCTTAGACCTGTGGTTGGAAAGCCGAGTGCCTTTGGAAATTAGTTTGCTTGGAGCACACATATGAGGATGTTCTTGCTGCCTCTGGTGAGGGACCTGGGGACAGAAGTGGTCACTTCCGCACAGATTGTAAGACAGTGTGGGGCTTGAAATTACATTGGTTAAAGGATGCACTCAAGAACTGCCCCAACAGTCAGACTCCACCTAGTGAGCTGAGAAGCTGGTAGCAGCCCACCCTGCACTCCAAAGGGTGCATTTCATTTAGCAAAAGGGGAAAAAATAGAGTTCAGTTAAACGTGGAAATCTATGTTTCCATTCTAAGACCTGTCAACCTTAAAGATGGTTTACATTCACAGTGGATGGCCAAATACATTTCCCTTTAAAAGAGGAATTTTTTTCTTTTAAAGATTTATGTATACAGAACTGGGGTACAGGCCAGAGGTGCAGGGGTGGTGAGAGGATTCACCAGAGACAGAGTGGAGAACAGAACAGGCAGACAAAGTACACAGCTGAGGGGAGCAGCAGGTGAGACAAGAGAGGTCTGTTGCACCTCTGTGGCCTGGGATCAAACTTGCACTGAAGTGGCTGAGGCTAGCTTGCAGCACTGCATCCTAACCTGTTGCACCACCAGGGAGGGCCAAAAAAGGATTTCTTTATTAAAGATCACTTTTCCTTTATTCAGAGGGTGGAACAAGATGGATAATCAAATACCAACTACAACTGATTTCGATTATTATGGTTTTAATCCAGAAGAACCCTGCCTAAAAGCCTCCGTGAAACAGATCGCAGCTGCGCTCCTGCCTCCACTCTACTCCCTGGTATTCATCTTTGGTTTTGTGGGTAACATCCTGGTCGTCCTCACCCTGATAAACTGCAAAAAGCTGAAGAGCATGACTGACATCTACCTGCTCAACCTGGCCATCTCCGACCTGCTGTTCCTCCTCACCATCCCGTTCTGGGCCCACTATGCGACAAATGAGTGGGTCTTTGGGGACGTGATGTGTAAGCTCTTCACAGGCCTGTATCACATCGGCTATTTCGGTGGGATCTTCTTCATCATCCTCCTGACGATCGACCGGTACCTGGCTATTGTCCATGCTGTGTTTGCTTTAAAGGCCAGGACGGTCAGTTTTGGGGTGGGAACAAGTGTGGTGACCTGGATGTTGGCTGTGCTCGCCTCTCTCCCGGGAATCCTCTTCACTAGGACCCAAAAGGAGATTTCTCATTACACATGCAGCCTTCACTTCCCACCCAATAAGTTTCACTTCTGGAAGATGTTCACTGCGTTGGAGACACTCATCTTGGGCCTGGTCCTGCCACTGCTTGTCATGATCATCTGCTACTCGGGAATCCTGAAAACTGTGCTGCGGTGTCGGAACAAGAAAAAGCACAAGGCCGTGAGGCTCATCGTCGCCATCATGATAGTGTACTTTCTCTTCTGGGCTCCCTACAACATTGTCCTTCTCCTGAACACCTTCCAGGAGTCCTCTGGCCTCAACAACTGCAGTGACTCTAATAGGCTGGATCAGGCCATGCAGGTGACAGAGACGCTCGGCATGACACATTGCTGCATCAACCCCATCATCTACGCCTTCATCGGGGAGAAGTTCAGAAGCTACACCGCAAGGTTCTTCCAAAAGCATATCACCAAGAGGCTCTGCAAGCACTGTCCAATCTTCCAGCAAGAGGCTCTGGAGCAGTCAAGCTCCATTTACAGCCAATCCTCGAAGGTGGAAATATCCATAGGCTTGTGACCTGCGCTTGCTTCTTAGGCACAGCCTGGGACAATTCTTTTTGAGAAAGGAACTTACTGTCTGACAGGTTCTGAGATTCATCCAGCTACTTTAAGTGTATTCGTTATTTGAATTCAGCATTGATTCTGGAAACCCTGATCACTGTAGCATCTCTCTCTTCCATGTATATTAACTTATTGGCAAAGTCTCTTTTTGCTGCCAAAGTTCATTATTTTGTTTAAAATCCTCAGAGACTTGCTGATTCATGAGTTGGATGAGCAGGAGTATCAAAATTAATCAAGAGGCATGTTGGCAGTTTCTGACCAACTCTAGACCATCACCATCCTGGTGATTCCTGTGAAATCAATGTACGCATTGCAAATGTGCTTGTCTTGTGGAAAAAAGAGATAATGTGGTCAGTTACACAATGGCATCGTGCACAATGGCAATGTGCACACAGCTGTGGGTGTCTGGGACCTGGTGAGCTGGTGAGAGCCCGAGGCCTGGCCAGCACTGACAAACTGGAGGAGAGAGAAGCTGAGCTCAGGCTTCAGGAGCTGGGCACAGAAAGACCCACAGATGATAGGAACTGGGCCGGGAGGCAGGAACAGGCTGAATTGTGAGGAGCCTTGGTGGCGTTACTGGTGAAAGTCTGTCACAGAGTAGGAGGTCCTGGCCAGGCTGCAGAAAGCTCATTTCAGGGCATGACCTGGGAAGGTGAGCGTTTAGTGCAAGGAAACTAGCATCAAGCCATCAGGGCAGAGGCCCTGGGGTGGGAGCAAGGGCTGTCTCCTCACCTTTGGGGTGAGAGTCAGCAGAACCTGGGGCGGACTGGGGTTGAAAGTGAGGAGCAGAGGAGACTCAGAGAGCGCTCCCAAGCTTCAAATGTGCAGGCTAGAGATGGTCTAAGGAGACTGAGAAAGAGGAGGAGGGTTAGAGCCAAAATGGGGGGGGGGGGCTGGCAGAGGAAGGCCGTTTGTAAGCTTGACACGGGCCCATGCAGACAGGCTCTGGGCCATCTGCCCTGCCCTCAGAGTCCTGCTTCTTGTTCCCTCAGTGACTAGCTTCTCCAGGGGCCTGGGGGGTGGGAGGGTTGGGGGCCTCAGAGACTGAGGGACCAATGCAGAGCTTGAGCTCTGGGAACACTGAGAGCTCAGAGCTGAGACCTGGTTGAGGGTTACAAAATCAGAGAAAATCCAGAGCTTAGGCCCCCAGAGGCAGAGAAGCTCTGGTGACTGCCCTGGGCGCACTGCCGTTGACCCGTCTCCTTCTGGATTTAAGTTAGAGCTGGCAAAGGCCAGGAGATTCACATTCATTTAGAAACAGGCTACCTGAAGACTCATGAGATATGAAAAATTCAGTTTTCCAACCTGCTTGTTTCAGGGTGAGTGTAGGAGATTTAGATCCCCCTCTTCCAGAGGTCTTTCAGACAAATCAAACCCAAACATTAAGGGATGCCAGAGGGCTTTTCAGAGACAAATCAAACCCAAACATCAAGGAATGCTTTTGTTTCAAAGAGAGAGTTATGCTTGTGTGTGTGTGCAGTTGCTACTTTTATTTGGCAGTAGCTGAGATTGTTTCAGATTTGGGGGTAGAGAAGACCATTGTAGTAAAGATTAGGTGGGGAAGGTAAAGGAGTGAAAAATCACGCAGAAAATTAAGGTGTCAGAATACGAATAGGCACTGCTTATTTTGTCACGTTCTGAAATATGTAATTTTGAGGGTTGTGGTGTCAGTGGGAAGCAGGTGTCAGCCTTTTCTTTTGCTCTTAACATTGTTGCAGTGTTTAAGTAGCATGCGATCTTGGCTCTAGTCAATTCAAAGACAATCTGATAACCTTGTGTACATACATGTACATGCACATGCATAATGTTAATACAAGAATAGTCTTATATATATATAATATATATAAATATATATATATATTTATATTTACAAAGTGCTTGAAAGAAAATATGTCTCTAATAAAACCCACCCTCTAACATAACTGATTGTATTCTTGTCCTTTTACTCCAGTACATTTAGAGAAGAGTATTAAAAGGGTAAGGGCATTTTGAAAGTAGATTTTGGGGACATTTTCATATACACGTATACTGAAAATTATATTTCCGTGTTAATGCTGAGCATTTGATTTTTTAGTTTTTGATTAAATTAAATTAAATTTTTAATTATTGTTTTAATGCTGAGCATTTGAGTATATTTTCTTTTTAATGCTGAGTATTGTGATTTTCAAAGCGGAACCTCTCCCAAGTTCAGATGGCCAAGAGAATTTGTATTTAAAGATGCTGCCTACAAAGGTGGAATTTTTTAATCACTGACTGCCCAAAATTTTAAATCTCAGATTTAACTCTATTACTCAAACCAAAGAGTTGACTTTTCTAAAAAGAAAAACCCGGTGTGTTTAAGGGTAGGTCAAGGGATAGCATTTGAAGAGACACAGACCAGCGTCCCTGGCCCTGAGTCCTCAGCTACAGATACACAGGCTTAACGATGAGGCTGGTGGCACTCAAGGTTGGTTTTCTTTCCACTAAAATTCCTCCCTAAGCCCTTCCTGGTGGCACAGCGGGTTAGGACGCAGCACTGCAAGCTGGCCACAGCTGCCTCATTGCAAGTTCGATCCTCGGCCCTGGAGGTGACCCACATGGCGCGCAGACCTGTCTCACCTGCTGCCCCCCTCAGCAGTGTACTTTGTCTGTTCTGCTCCCCACTCCATCTCTGGTGAATCCTCTTCCTGCCCCTAGACCTCTGGCTTGTACCCAGTTCCGTGTGCATAAATAAACCTTAAAAAAAATCCCTCCCTAAACTTGGCTGTAATGGCAAGACTAACAACAGCCATCATTTGAATCTCTGTGCTGTGATTCCTCCCTGCTGGGAAAGGAGAGAGCTCTGGCCCAGACAGCCTTCCAGGCCCACTCCTCCAGCTGGGCTCTCACTTCCAAGTGGGGTCCACTTGGACGTGAGAAATCAAGGATGTGGGAGCTGCCCTCTGTTCACATGCTGTCTCCAGAGCAGTCTGGAAGGTCTGCCTTCCAGCTCCTCTGCCAAAAGGAGGCTTGCACCCAGGAGGCCCAGGAGGGAGTGTGGGTGGGAGCTGGGGAGAGTAGAGGGAAGAGCCAGGGCGGTCTGCTCATGAGGTGAAGCCACCCTGCTGGCCCAGCAGTCTTGAAGCACAGCCTGCCCTCTTTCCAGCTCAGGAAACGCAGCCAATGTCAACCTGGAGAAGAAGCTGCCCAGGTGATGCAGCCTGTCTCCCCTCCCCCTGAACCCCTCCCTGGACAGCTCCCTTGCCTGACTCTCCCAGTCCTCACTCCAGGAGGCCTCCACCCTGCCTGTCACAGCCCGCAGGTTCCCATGCCCTTCCTCATACCCCATGAAGGCAACCCTCTGCCTCAACCCAGATCCCTGCCCGATAAAGTGGAAGCCAAGGAAAATGTCCCCAGCAGGGAGAAGATGCGCATTCATGCAGTTACCATGTTTAAGCTGTAGGTAGTCCAAGGGTTAAACGCATCGGGATTTCCAGCAGGGCGATAATTTCACAAGGCACTTGTTTTGGACAGGCTCCCTGCTTTCCAGGGTTAGGCTTCTCAAGGAAGGCGCAAGACTTAACCTCAGAAGACGGAGCCTGTGACAGGTGGGGGAGGGTGGCAGGGCAGTGGGTACTCCCTCACCGTGAGCCAGCACCATCTCACCCCGGGATGTGGAGAAAGTGCGGGCCACCACCCTCAGGGCTGGGGAGGACAGAAGAGGCCAAAGCAGGAAAGCATTTCCATAGCATCTTTGCTTTTAAATAAAATCCATTTCCCAAGACATTACAGTTTTCTGTATTTTTACAAGTCTGACTCATTTCGCGCCCTGGCGTTACCTCTTTATCTGTTCTGTATTATTGTGATTATGTCATATTTCAAGAGCTTACGCGTATGTCTTTTTCATAAGGGGTAACTGGTTTTTCAAAGGGCACATTTCACCAAAGGCGCTGGGAGCCGCGGAAGCCGTGACCAGCCTGGGGCTCTACTGCCCCCCTGTGGCCACACTAGCAACCAGCAAGGGTGTTGGTCAGCTGGTCTTGACCTCAGCGAACGCAGGGGCAGGAGGGTGCATTGTTGCATTCAGCGGTTTAAAGCTGTGTCTGTTGGCATCAGCCCTGTTGTGGACAGAAGTGTCTCCACAGCGGCCCAGGGTGAATGCCACACAACCCTTCGTGGTTGTTTCTGTGCCTGTGGTGAATGAAGGGTCCTGGCTCATCTTGCAAATTGCTATACTCAGAACCTTGCCAGGTCAGGTTTTTTGAGAAAGCATTTGTAATAATCCCTTCCCACCTCTCTGTGTGTGCTCCCTCGGGGTGCAAGTTCCAGGGGTAGGTGGTGTAGGAGGTTTTCTTTCCAGTCCTGGTCTCCTTTTAGCATTACTGTCATAGCTTCCTTTGAGTCACACGCCGGGCGTCGTGGAAAGATTGTGGGGGCACAGTCAGCCCACCCCCTCGGCTGCCCCGGAAGCGCAGAATCTGATGCAAGCCGTGTGGGCGGCCGTGTCCTCGTGTCCTCGGCCACGCCAAGCTGTTGCGTCATGTCTGGGCGGCCAGTTGCGAGCCCCTGGGGGAGGGGCCTCCTGGTCCCCACCCACGTCCATCATGAAAGTGGGGCCCGGGATTCATGGACCTGCCCTCAAGTCCCTGGCTTTCTGTTGCTGAAGTCAAGCCACCTGGGGCGTTTTTCAAACAGCAACACCTGAGTGCCAGTCCCGCCACTCAGCTACCAATGATCCCTCTACCAGTGGGGCCTGTGGTTTGACTTCTGAAGGGTTCCCAAGTGATTCTATGTGCCGCCAAGTTGAAACGGAACGTTTCCCTGCAGAATGCGATCTCTGTCTTCCGCCAGGTTGGTTTTGAAAGCGTATGAATCGACTTAATTGGCAACGTAACATGGCTGTGTTTAAGGTTCCAAGTATTTCTACTTTCATTTCTGGTTTTGAATTATGCTGGGCCATTCCACTCCAAGGGAAAATTAAATAAAAGTGGGGTATCTGACACCCATGCTGAGCTGAGTGTCTTCAAGTTTGAAAGAGAACAAATCTCACGGGTAGAAAAGGTTTGTTTTGAGCTACTTAATTTCTGTTCCTTTTCTCCTCAATAAACAAAAAAGCAAGTGGTCTGTTGCTTTAAAGGGATATAGATTTCGCTTATGTTAGCAAAAGAACTTCCCTGTATTCTCTCATCCACCCTCCACCCATAACCATCTTCCCTCTAACTGCTTCGGTAACACATCATCTTTGGGAGACTGGAAAACTCTGGGAGTTCACATCAGCCCTGGGCAAGGCAAGGAGAATTCTGCAGAGAAGAACAAAGGCACTTTGAAGATAGCAATAGTTCATCCTTCCACTGAAATTCCTCCATTGAGGTTTATGTCTACTAATTTGTACCCTTCGGAAATCCCTTTCAAGCCCACGCGATGAGAGAGAGAGGTTGCATCTGTTCTCCTGAAATTCACTATTTAGAGAGCAAGGCAGGCGTTCACTAAGCAAAGCTACGTGGCTTTTGAAAAGTGCTGGCGACAGGTCCGGGAAGGAGAGTGGCCCTCCCAGCTCAAGCATGGGGGGACCGGAGCCTGGAGGGGACAGTGGAGTAAGGGCTGCTTAGAAGCCCCTAGGTGGGATGCAAGAGGAGCCATTACGCAAGTGCACGAACAGGGCAAGAGGGGCCAGGTGCCTGAGGTGCTTCAGCAGGGACAGACCATGAGAGTGTGGCTGAGGACTCCCCCAGAGGGACATAAGGAGCAGTGACCAGCGGAGAGGACAGGACTGGACCAGGAGCGTGCCCTCCAGCCTGCCTGGGGCCAACACTCCCTCCCTGTGAATTGCAAAGCTTCGTGTCGGCAGAGCGGGGCATCTCCCTATCTCAGTGCCCAAGTG